CATATGACCAAGGATGAGGTCATATGAGGTCATGCACAGCCATGCACAGCAGGTCACCTGACCATCCAATCCTTCCAGCAGGTTCCAGCACATGCCAAGGTATACCAGCTACTTCCATGTCATAAAGGCTTAGTCATGTCTCTTGACCAAGCAATGAGCTGGTGCCCTGACAATTTCAAGACATTAGTACTGAAGTACTACCCCGGCACCACAAATAATGAACACCAGTATGCAACTCAGGATATGGATAACCTCGTTCACAAGTGGCAACATCACATAAAGACCAAGGGAGAATTTGCCAAATTTTACCAGGACTTCTATTTGATTTCTACATGGCTCATCACCCACAATCAGATTTCCATCCTCAATCAGCAAAAAGCCTTGCTCCATGTACTCAAATTCCCACCCAACAAAAGCCAACTTTGGGACAAGATGGTAAACCAGCTTGAACAGAAATAAGACAGAGTGGTGGATGAACCCTGGATGATGGCCAAATTGAAGGAGACAGCCAAATGGGCATTGGGCAACACCACCACAAAGGTCTGTGTTCTGTCCCCCAATTATTCACAGGAGGTAACACTGGCACCCATACTGGACAATGTTAAACCGGAGTATACCCCACAGGTAGCTGACTTTACCAGATACATGGTGCAACTTGAAGGGATGGTGTCCCAGATATACACCTTGATGCAAAACCAGAAGTTGGCCCTGCAGAACCAACTGGCCCCTCAGCAAAACCCTTACGGTCAGTCATCCTGAAATATGTATGGCAACAACACACTGGCCACAGGCACAAATTGGGTTCCTGTCCCAGCAGAAAACTACCCAAACCAAAATGGATATGGCCCCCAGAATACCAAACACCCACTTTGTCACTTTGACAGTGTGTCTACAGGTTGCACAGACAAGATCACAACATGTCCTGGTGCCCAGAAATACTTGGACAATGGCCTTCTTGAGAAAGACAGCACCTATCATGTCCTTGCCAATGGCCAATTTATTCCTTGTCATTGGCCTGGTCAGGATCTTAAGGAATGAGTTGATGGTTATTACAAGGACCACCCAGAACACCATCTGAAATTGCAGCCCACACCTCTTGTAGCCTTTCACAATGTGATCATTGAAGACATTGGCTTGGACTCTGAATTTGGGGTAATGGTGGATCACTCAGTGCTGCATATTCTTGCCAAAACAGAACAATACAGTTGAATGGAATGATGAGGAGATCAAGGTGTTAATGGCTGAAGCAGACCAACTTGGGAAAAGGTGAGCTGCATCCATGGGAAAATTGGCCAAGGTCTTGGAAGTCTACACACCGGCAGCCAGAAAGGAGAAATCAGATGTGCATGTGCATCATAGCACCGCACACTTTGTTGGCATACAGGTGGATGAGCTGGAGAAACTGGACACCATGCCAGACCTGCCAAAGCCCTGTACCAACACACCAGTTCAACTTTGACCTGGTCCATGTCCCTGCCAAAAACCACACCAGTCCAGATGATCTCTCCCACCATCCCCTGAATTCATTGGATGCTCCGAACCTGCCCAACATCAACCACAAACAATGCCTGGGACTTTTGTATCCTGCTGATCCAACCCAAGAGGTGTCCAAAATATTGGTCTGATGGGTGGTGTGTGAGAACTTGCTAGGGAGAGAGGGGAGAGATGGGGAAAGTCAGTAGGAATGCCAGAGTCAGCCTGTAGCTGAGCTATCAAAAGTCAGTCTGTGATAATCAGAGCTTGGTGTCCATCCAGTCCAGTCACAATAAGTCAAGTCAGAATCCACTAAGTCAAGTCAAGTCTGCCTATCCAGTAAAGGATAATCAGATCCATATAATGCTAACAGAAAAGGGGCAGAATAAGCTAGATATAGGAGTTTCTGGAAACTACTTATACTAGCTGCTCTAAACTAAACTGTATACTAATCCAGTCTCAGATGCTTCTCCAAGGCAGACATTGGCATGGCAAATATCCAGGTGGGTCGATCCCGTTGCGGAGGAAACCTGCAGTCATCATGCCAAATGAGCTGATCCTGTTGCATGGGATACCAGTAGTTGTCATGCCAAATATCAGAGAGTCAAGACTTGTTGCTGGGGTGCATTGTCCTGTGTAGTGAGGGTCTGTAGTGCCATGCAACACAATTGCGTGATGCTCCATGGTAAGACATCAGGCCGCATATTGGGGCACTGTTAAAATGGCGGCATCAACTATTCAGTAAGGAGGCATGCCAGAGGGCATTGCTGCACAATTGGCACTAAAGGTGGCTGGTTGGCACGTGAAGACCCTAAGCAGTGGCTTGCAATGCTGCCTAAGTCCGCAAGAGGGACCCTGACTGCATTTTTTGCATTGAGTCACATGGTGCCTGAGACCCTGAGTGACTGATTTAGTGCTTCACAAAGCCCAGTGTGGTGTTTTATCAGCGCCACCTTTGCTGAAACAGTGTTCCTGTCAGGGCACCAGCTCATTGCTTGGTCAAGAGACATGACTAAGCCTTTATGACATGGAAGTAGCTATACCTTGGCAGTGT